AGGCTTTTATTTTTTTTAAACGCCTAAGAGTACCTTAACATTTAATATTTGATAAGGCTGACTGTTCACCTCTGCTTTTTGGTAGCCTCTAAACAAAGACGGATCATAGAAGCAGTCTCGGGCTATAGTGGAATGAGGGCAGGATTGTACAAAATAGATATCTCCAGAAGAACAGTCAGTGAAAGGAGGAAAAAAAAAAAATAGGCTGTGACACATTCAACTTCGAAGGCTTTCAGAAGGTCAGAAATTCACCTGCACTTCTAATGAGTTTAGGATTAGAAAGGGCTCATACTTGCAAGTGAAAGCATAGGTCTTCCAGTCCTTCCTAAACCTTGCCATTGCTCAGTGAATGGTTTCATCCCACACTCATTTGCCCTGCACCACACTGGGACATCACTTCACACACAACACATCCTAGCATTTGTTCATAATGTGTCACATATTGTCCAATAATTATTTCATGTTTGTTGATTGTCTTAGACTGTAAATCACTAAAAGCCTCAGGTTGGATAAAAAATTACTTTGTATCCCTGAAATATCTTAACAAAGTGCAGAAATAAGTATGTACTGGTCATGGCTTTGTCAGTAGTAGGCTGGGATTTGGGATAATTCATTCCTCACACTGTGCAGTAACTGTCGTATCTGTCTTCTCTGAATCTCTTGCTGAGCTCTAAATTCTTTGCAGTCAGGTACCTACTGTGATTCAAATCTGTATCCCTAAAGCATAAAGCTCAGCAGTTAGTCTCTTGAAAGAATGGTGCTATTAGCCAGTTCACCTCTTCTGGGTCAAGTCCAAAAACTCTGAATCCATTACCCACTCCAAGTCAAGTTCCACCATCCCCCAGTTTCCCAGCATGGTAAAAACATAAAATAAAACAAATAAAACACAGGACGACCTTTTATTTTTATTTTAGATTTTATTAGAATGTCTAAAGAACTATCTCTTTCCAGCTAAAATGTTTCCAAAAGCAGGTACAGAATGAAAGAATTCTTGGCTTCCTACAGGAAGAGAAAACAAAAAAATAAAACAAACAAACAAAAAACCATTTCTGATAAAAGATATGCAAGTTATCAGGTCACGCCACCAACGAGAACATACACATTCATAAAAGGAAAGAAAGAGCCCATGCTATGTCTAAATACTGCCTTGCTAAGAAGTGGAGAAATCCAAAAGTAACCTTTCATAACCTTATGACCACCTCTGGAGCTATATCAGCCGACGATGCTAAGAAAGGGCTGTCTCATTGCAGAATGTTGACAGAAGAGCAATGTGCTCTGTGCTGAACAAAAGAAAAGCATTTCTTCAGTATCACCCATTTATTACACTTAACCTTAACCAGCTTAAGGCTTTAACCAAGATGGAGTTTCAGTACTCTTCCCCAACTTCCCCCCAACTCCTAACACACACACACACACACACACACACACACACACACACACACACACACACACACATACCTGCCCACAGACATTGATAAAACCTACTTATTTTAATGTCCTGGAAAGAGGTAGAAATATCTGGTCAAAGTCACCCTTTCAGTGGTGGGCATCTGCGCCTTACTATCTGGCAACTCAAAGGAAAGTCGGACCTAAAAGAAAAAGGAAAGTCTGTACTCTTTTTTTTTTTTTGAATGGAGAATCTGAAGTCAGAAAAAAATGCAATGACATAGCAAGATAAGTGATAAAACTTGCATCCGTAAGAATCACAGCAATATGCATATCTAAGCATTGAATGACACTAGTCCCCCACCAGAGTTTTAATATCTGCTGCGTGATCTGATACCCGTGATGGACACAGGCCAATGAAAGTCAACTCATTTGTCTATGCAGGGTAGGAGAGGAGTTAAAGTAAATGATTATTTTCTAGGAGTTATGAATTATAACAGATTAGATCTGGTTTCCAGGTTTGCCAACTCACCAAAGAACCTAAAAGCTCATTTGGAAAGGAGGGAATTATTGGATGACAAACATGTCTAGAGCTGCTCCCTAAGTTTCCAACTAGAATAGCCAAACATCCAGGGAAGTAGAGTGGGAGAAGCATCTAGAGCCCTACCTTTCGGAAAATTGTCTCCAGGTCACAGGACCAGGCATGTTCTTGCAATTTTTCAATGAGTCTCATAATAAAAACGGAGCCCTGTGTTGGATGTCGCCAAGAAACATTATCTGCGAATAAAAATACATTCCAAAACTCAAGACAGGCTCTTGCCTGAACACATGAAGGGAGCCATAGTATTTCCACTCCAGCTGAGGCGTGCTATTGAGTTCACCCTGTTTTCTATACACTGCATACCATTTTTCAGTGAATATATTCAAATTCAGTGAATATATTTTTATTGATACTTGATAAGGGTGCTGTATATGGTACAGATATTAGGATGGAATAGTCCCTGAGTTCAAGGAGCTGCAAAATTAGTAGAGAGGGAGAAAATGGCAGAATGAGGTAGAGGAGAGTGATTGGGACCTGGAGAAGAAATATCTGAGTGTGCATCTCAAGGGTGCTACTCACTAACTGTGATTTAAGTTAATTATACCCTCTGAAATGCAAAACTATAGTGCGGAGGGTAACAACTCTTGCCACATGAGATATTTGAGAATTAGATATAATGCATCACAAGTGTCTGGAAGAATATAGAAAATATAATACCCAGCCTAAGAAGGGTAATTATATTAGTAACTTTTCAACTTATCTAGTTTATAAATAATTTTAATTAAAATCAAATAATATTGACCACAGGATATTTATACAAAGAAAATGTTAAAGTACAAATCTAGAAAGGGTTCAAGAGGGAAAAATCACATTCTATTTGAGGATGAAAAGTTCTCATGGAGAAGAGAAATACTAAAGAACAGAGATATTGATTATATAACATAGTAGACATATAGAAATAATAAAGGCATTTAAAAATTATACAAAGAAACGTATAAGAGAAAGCAGTAGCAACAGCTCCTTCTATAATCATGGACACATTCTTTAACCAAAACTTTTAGCCAATAATAATGGAAATAAAATGTGTATTAATAATGAATTAAAATTCTGTTTAAAACTACAGCTGTCTTATGAGGCTGCTTTCAGTTAAAGGAAGTGGAGAAAGAAGGCAGAGATAATTGTAATTGTAAAATTAAGGTAATAGATGGACATTTTTCTTCAGGAGAGCATTACACTGTTGTTGGGATTTACACAAGGAAGCAAGGAGCTAGATTTAGTAGGGGGAGTGGAAGATAACTGAATTGGACTTTCTAGGAGTCATCTAGAAAGGACAGGTGAGTAAAGTGAAAGAAAACGAGACAGAAATCTGCAAGATAGTTGTAGAAAAGCCAGGGGACTTACAAAGGTTTGTATAGCCAGAGATGAATGTCTTGTGGAAGCCTGGGATCAAAGGCTATTAAAGAACAGGTATGCGCAATATGAAAGTCTGCTAAATGCGCTCAAGCTACAAATGTGTGGGGTTTTTGCATAGTAGCATTGTTTTTGATCATTGCGGAAAAAAAAAATCGAGTTATTCATCAGGACATGGTCAACAGAATGCAGAATCAGGCTGCCTCTTGAGGGATGGCATCTCATTACAGAAAATCATCTGTAAATTAAAGTATTTGAGCAAAGGCAAGGCCTCTTAGTCGAGTTGACCAAGACAATGTGAGTCCTCAGGAAATTGCAAAACATAGTTGATGAAAGGATTCCAATAACTTTTATTTAAACCTTGATAAGGAAAGTGACTTAAGTTATAAAAT